GATATTTTTGTTGCAAAGCTCCTGCAGATCTTTGTATTTAGCTGCTGAAATTTTAAGCTCTTCGGCGTATAAAGGTGTGGGTCCTTTTTTTTTTATACATAGGTCCGACAAATAACTCCACCCCACCTGATGTTAAGTGAAGGTGAAGTCCAGACGTGACGATAGCTGATACAGCAGTTCTACCTGCCACACCAGCCATCTTCACCCTGCCGGCCTGCATGTTGCTTCTTCACGCCTCTTTTAAAGGATCCCAGATTGTAAGAGGGAGGGAACACGTGAGCGGGCAGAGCATTCCATTTACGGATAGTGCGACAAAGAAATGAGTCACCAAATTTCTTTGTACGCGTTGGAATTGTGGCCACAGTAAGACGATGACAACGTAGGCCAGCGCGCGTAGTCCTCTGAAGGAAAGTAGAAGGTGGGATAAGAGAGAATAACTCCTCAGAACACACGGCCGTGGTACAGACGATAGAACGCGCTTAGTGACGCCACGTCACGGCGTAATTGAAGAGGCTCAAGGTGTTTAGTCACCTCCTCATCGCCTATGATGCGGATCGCGCGTCGCTGTAACCTATCCAAAGCATCGAGCAAGTACTTAGCGGAGCCATCCCAGAGGTGCGAGCCATATTCCACGCAAGACCGCACTTGCGTTTTGTACAACAAGCACAGTTGATCGGGCGTGAAAAAACGCCGCACCTTGTTCTGCCCCTCTAGCATGACCACCGAAACGGGATATGTTAAAGCGATATATCGGCATTAACTGTCAGACTACTATGGAGTTTGACAGTAGTCTGACAGTTAATGTCGATATATCGCTTTAGCATATCCCGTTTCGGTGGTCATGCTAGTGGGGCAGGACTCCGAGTTTGCGTGAAGCTGTTTTGATCACGGTTTCGATGTAGTCCTTTGGATTCAGGTCTGAGCGAATCTCCATACCGAGCATGGAAATGTTGCTGTGTAGCGGTAGTGTTGTGCCCTGAAGAGAGGGAAGGGGAAGGAATGGCGATGTTTTTGCCGTGAAAGCGCAAGCCTGAGTTTTCTTGGCATTGAACTCAACCAAGTTCCTGGTACCCCATTCGGAAATGTGGTCCAAAGCCTGATTGAGTTCAATGACAAGATTCTCCCGTTTCTCCTTGGTTACCGCCAGCCCAGCCGCTGCTTGTCCGAGATACCCCGCATGCACTGTACTATCGTCTGCATAGCAATGAATATTCCCAAGAGGAATTAAGTCATTGATATGCAGCAGAAAAAGAGTGGGGGATAGGACGGAGCCCTGGGGAACGCCGGCATTCACTGACATGAACCGCGAACTGCTACCATCCGTAAGGACACGAATTCTACGCTCATGCAGGAAGTCAGCCACCCAAGAACAGAACTGGGCTGGCAGACCGTATGCCGGAAGCTTGGAGAGAAGGCTTTTGTGCCATACCCTGTCGAACGCCTTGGCAATGTCAAGGCTGATAGCCAACGACTCGCCACGCTTGTTGATAGCCTCACCCCAAATATGAGTTAAGTACGCTAGAAGATCACCCGTCGATCGTTTCGGTCTAAAACCATATTGACGATCATTAATCAAGGAGTGATCCTCTAGGTAGCGGGTCAGATGGTTATTAAGGACCTTTTCTAAAACTTTACATAAAACTGAGGTGACTGCTATTGGCCGGTAGTTTGCCGGGTCTGAGCGATCCCCTTTTTTGGGCACCGGTTGCACATTAGCATCTCTCCAAGTCTCCGGCACACGCCCCAAAAAGTACGAGCATTGGTACAAGCGCGTGAGCACGGGAGACAACTCCGCTGCACATTTTTTAAGTACTACTGCTGGGATGCCATCGGTCCACTAGCTTTCCGGACGTCGAGTGATTGCAATTCGGCACGAACCTCGCGCTGCCTGATTTTAATATCAGGCATCGTTGTGCCACAGTGAGGTAATGATGGTGGCAGTGCATTGCAATCATCGATTCGGGAGTTAGCCGCAAAGTGTTTTGCCAGTAAATCGGCTTTCTCCTGCGGCTTATGGGCTAGTGTTCCGTCTGGGCATCTCAGAGGTGGCAGCGAGGGCTCGCAGAAGTTTTTTTGCACGGCCTTGGCCAGACGCCAGTAGCTACGGGAACCCGTAGGATGCGTCATAAGTTCCTGGCCAACACGTGCAACGCGCTGGGCATCCGCTCTAATGTAAGCCTTCTTACAGGCCTTGGAAGCAAAATTGTAGGCTGCTTTGAGTGAATCGACCTCGGGATCCTTGAGAGAGCGACCTCTGATCCAAGCACGATATGCCGCTTGCTTACGCGAAGCAGCTTCAGCACAGTCGTGATTGAACCAGAGGTTACGCGTGCCCTTACTGATGAGATCAGAATGAGGAATATAGTATTCCATAACCATTATAATCTCCTCAGTAATGTCAAGAACTAATGTCGGTTACGATAACAAGTAGTGTCGCTTGCGCTACAAAAAATCGATCGCTAGCCACGTAAGATAAAAATGCTCGTTGTCGCTTACGTTACGGCTTTAAAAATATATGTATTCACGATAATTTTAGCACTTGCTATAACTTTATAACGGTGTTCCTTTGGAGGGAAATATCAACAGAGATGGGTCCGTTACGGTTTAAAATATTAGTTTCCACAAAAAACGCATTTCAACAAAAGTGTCGCTTACGATAATTTGGCGGTAACGGCTCGAAATGCTCATAACTTGACCGAAACTTGGTTCTGATTGCACCGTAGCTCTTGGGTGTGAGCGCTGATTGGTTCGATTGTTTTTTGTAGCGTCGTTTGATTGTTTATTATACATAGGTATATTAAGTGCAAGTGTAGTGGGGGCGAGCCGGCGACATTGGTTCCCGTGCAAACGTTTATGATCACCATTCTAACCTCTTTCTGTGCTCTGTGGTTCAGAGGTGGAAAGTTAGCGAGCTTTATGGGAATAGCTTTTAGAGCGAGGGAAGCGTCCGCGGCTTCGAAATAAATGCTTTTAAAAGTTACACTTACACCGTTGTTCCATAAAATTTGGTCATTTCCTTTGCGTTTGCATTTCTATTTGTTTTGGCACAACATAAAACAATACTTGTCGCCAATCAAGCGGCACGTGCCTACCGCCTACGACAACCAGGCACGAGCTGTCATCGCGAGGTCAGGTGTAAGCGGCTAAGGTGAAATTGCGTAACCCATGCTATGGCGAAAGTAAACCGGTCAAATCGCCGATTGGGGTCATTGTCTCGACACATCTTCCTTCACCATGCGCGCGACCGTTATTGTTATCGCGTACCGCCTATTTACATACAGAGATTTCTTTAAGTACAAATAACACTTAATCCATACTATCCTATTGATATTATAAACGGCTGAACGAGTTTGGATAAAATTTGCTAAAATTACATATACATAGGTAGAGTATGACCTGGATAGAAGAGATATAGGGTAAGTAGGTACCTACCCAATTTTTATCTCTGAAAACTGTTACGTTCCTGTGGTATTTTTAGAACACTAAAGTTAACGTGGACGAAGTCGACGCAGACGGTGCTAGTATTAGCTTTAAAGCCGGGACTTTTCCCGGGTATGTTTTTACATAAGATAGTTTTCAAACCAGGTACCATATTTTAATGGGGTGAAAAGTGGGTGGAGGTTTAAATGCTAATACTTCAATAAATACCAAAGTTACTACCTTTTATCTGTTTAGTACTATGCTTTGACTCACAATCAACACCACTGGAAAGAGAGTTTCAGTTTTTGAGAGCCCCATTGGTTGGAACTTATGAAGTTACATGGAAATATTATTTCCGATATAAATAGTAACTCTATCCTGCAGTCATATTCTAGCCCCCATAGCATGAGTATCGCGATATAATGTATAGCACGCTATTATCACGCTCCATTCTCAAATTGCTATGGACTTTGACAGTTGGACGCGATAAAAACCGTGATAAAATATAAATTGTGGTGCACATGCTACAGGGACAGGTGTGTTAAATTTTATCTAAATCCGTTGAGCCTTTTATACGTCAATAAGTAAGAAACAGTTAAATGAATATGTAAGTATACAAACTTTCATTCTAGGTCATCTCACAGCTATTCGAATTTGCTAATTTGGTTGCAGATATCCTTATCTTGGTCTAGGAAATTGAGAGACTACAGACTCATTTTTCTAACTCTTCTGCAAATACGATGGCAAAGGCAGGGCCGGATTAAGAGTTCTGGGGGCCCTGGGGCAACGAAGAAATAGAGGCCTTACAATTCGAGCAGAAAATACGAAAGAGAATTGAGAAAGCGGTGGTCAGTGAAAGACGCGCAGTCAGTTACTCTGTTAATTGTTTTTTTAAACATTTAGTGTACGAATCACACTTACCAGGCCGCGTCGGAGCGCATTTTACAAATCGCTGAAGACAATTGAAACATCCACCAAGTATCAAGTTCCTTATTTGCATGCTATTCAAGCAGCTATGAAGTCGTCCGGCCGCGCTCTGACTGCGGAAGCTTCGGCTCCTCGCGCACGCGGCCGACCACGTGCGTGAGGAGCTGAGAGCCTATCACGCGACCCTCTATCTGGTTATAAGCAAGAAAAGTTTATTATGGAAAACAGACTTTTCGATACAGACGATGTTGTAAACATCCACGTGCGGAAGGAGCTGAGCGCCTATCAGGCGAGCTTCTATCAGGTTATAGACAAGAAAAGTTTATTATGGAAAACAGACTTGTCGATACAGACGATATTGTAAACACCGGCCACCAAAACGCATTATGATAATGGTTGCCACTCTCTTGATTAAATAGGCTTGACCAAGCCAAACTTACCATGTGTGGAGAGATATTTCGGAAGGACATGCCACTTGATGGAAGGATTAAGAGGTATCATGATGAATGACCACCATAAAGCGATTTGTTGACATTGACCATCAAACTTTTGACAGTTGAGTGTCGATTGTGATTGTGTGTTCTATCATTTAACGCGGTGCTTATGCTACGGGGGCAGCTGGTTAAGACTACAAGTTAAGACTTTCTATTTACCGATTGCAGGACTTGCGAGCGCATCTTCGACGTTAGCCGACAAGAAGAAGACAGCGAACAGCACGAAGGCAGCGGTGATGTGTCCAGCCATTATTTTGGTATCTGAAAACAATTCCAAAAATAATATGTGTACACACAGGGGTGTTGAAAATCCAGCGTCCCGGGCCATTCTTGAATTGTCAAATCAAATCAAAATATAGATCGCAACGAAAGCCTTTATATGGTTTCTGCCGCGCCCGTCGCAGCCTGCCGCCCCAGGCCATAGCCCTCTTGGCAAAACGATGGACGAAAAATTAGGTAGTGCTTTTTTACCGTGGAAGAGAATACTATAAGCACACCAGCTATAAAAGTGGCAATAGCTATAATAGTAAATAGTAGTAGTTCTGATGATGGCAAACATCCACGTCAAAGCTTAATAACTTCTTAGACGTTGGCACTTTTCAAATTTGTCCAGCTCCGTTTGTTGACAGGATTTCAGTTCCGTGTAACTACTGGAACTAACTTTATCCTGCATAAACAGGATGCCACTTTCATGGAACTACTGGGATACGGGGCGCTATCTCAATCTGCGGGCGAGTTTCTTTAAAATTCTTTCTCATCTGACATCTCCTCTACCTCTGTGCCAAATTTAGTCTTCATAGGTCAAGTAATTTTCGAATTTTCATTATAAATCAACGAATGAATGAATCTTACTCACGCTTTAATAAATGGATAAGAGAAAAGAACGCTTTTAAAAATTGGTGGAAGAAAAACGGAAATTTAGTCAAATACACCAACAACATCACTTAATCCTTGAACTTTTTTATTATTTTGCAATCTTAAGTTTCACTTTTGAAAGGCATTTTTAATAAAGAATACTTAAGATTGTGGTGGTACTTTACTGAAAATGCGTTTCATCGTCGGAAGCAATTGAAAAGTACAAGGTTTTAGATGTAAGATGACGAATTTCCTTTTAGTTTTTCAAATAAAGGAGAATACAGAATTTACAAATAGTAAGAAGCCCTAACCTTAATTTATAAGAAAATATTTAAGAAAGTTGTAGTAATGGTTACTAAAATCACTGATGTAAATCAGTATCCTTTGTATGAGGCAAAAATAAACTAGTGACGCAAAAGATCAGATAATATTGGTGGTATTATTGGAAAAAGGAAATGTGTAGTACAAATATGAAAAAGAATATCTAAATTAAAGTATTTTAGTACGAAAGGATCAAATATTTAAATAAGATTTAGATATTACAACTACGAGAGAAATAAATGTCGAGCAAATTGCCACGTTATTAGATCTATAAAAAATATTAATGCCAAAAAATGTAATCATATGCCTGTCATTTTGAGAGAATTCTTTTCAGGAATTATTCCTGAAAAATATATTAATGTAGGTATCCGGTTCTAAGAATTTCCTCGACAACACGTTAGGTAGGTTTCCAGTTATAATTGTCTTGTTTATGTTACATCAGATATATTTATGTCAATGAAATTGAGGTAAGATATTTATTCTTTACGCCATACATTCATAATGGCAGAGTAGCAAAGTGTATGAGTTATATGAGTCGAAATAAAATTAAGTGTTTCAATCCTAACTTATAGGTGTAGGCGAATGGGTTTTTTGACACTGGTTCGGCTTAACATAAAATGAAACCACATGACTCAATCATTATGTCTCCACTGCTGTGGTATAGGTCTTCCCTATGCATGAGCCACCACACGGGCTCAGTGTGGACTGTGCAGGTGCTAATGATTACGGATGTAGCTGGGACCAACCAGATGCGTCTCTAGCCAATGTAGCGCCGGTGTGCAATCATTGACCTACCGACCTCTAAGAAGCGCACTGTTAAAATGTAAAGGCAGCCCGCCTTATTACAAAACAAAGACTAAAGATGTCACTTTTATTTGATAAAAAGAAGACAGACACAACATTAATTTTAAACCAAGGCTAACTTTAGTCCGTGTTTTGGAAGAAGGCGGTAAGAGTGGGAGTTCAGCGCCCCCCTAAGACCGCTGCGCCCGTGTGAAACAGACCCTGCACCATAGATAGAGCCTCTGGGACCAACGGCTTAACGTGCCTTCCGAAAAAAGAATGAGATCGAAATACGTTTGAATACCAATTTTATCATTGCGAAAGTTGCTTGATTTCCACGAATCATAGACTAAGCGTCTTAATCACTGTGTCACCGGGTCTCAAACTTAGAATACTTAGTAAGTATTAAGTTCAGGATCAGTGGTAAATAAAAAAAAACTACATATACAAAACTGAAATTACTAAAATTGAAGGTAATCAATGTTAGAAACTTAGCGTAAATTATTTTCATTTACTTCATTCATTATGGGTACTTTTACTCTACGTGCCCCAAGTGTGAAGAAAAAAAATTTGCCAAAAATTCTGTATGAAAATAGTTACTTAACAGACGGGTAGCCTGGATGAAGAAAGTAAGTCATTGTATCAGGATATTGAATGTGAATTTTGGCAACTTAACCATCGAAACTAATGAATGAGGTTTCGCATTGAAAAGCAAAACACGTATCACTCACCTCATGTAAGTTACAGTCCAAAAATGGTAAAGAGAAATTAGCGAAGCGACGGGATGTCAGTAACAGAAATCACAAGCACTCCCAGGTCAGTCGCCACAGTTAACCCCTTACACAATACACACGAATTTCGCACGTATGATAACACAAAGACACTGTCAACACAACAGCATTCGTAAATGGAACTTGTTTAAATATGTATTCGACAACTATGCGCTATGCGAGGTGGGGGTCAAGCGTGCAAGGGATACCCCAGGAAACGGATCTCGCATTTTTGAAGATGATTTTTTTGTTAGTAGGAAGCTTGGTACTATCTACTTTGAGAAGGATATGAAAGTTTAGTGTTTACATTACAGTGCAAGAGAAATTTTTCGCCTGTTTTCTTTGTTATTGCTCGGTGCTGTATTTGAAAATACAGCCTTAGTTTTGTATATGATTATTCTGAAATTGAAGAAAGGCGGTAAAAAATATCGTACTGAAGCACGTTTAAATATGAAAAGGAAAGAGTGCTGGCAGGTCCGCGTGGAATTTTTTCTAGCTATATTTTCTTTAGATTTAAACATCAAGCAGTTACATGCTTAAAAAATAAAAATTATAACTATAGTTGCTATATCTTCTTTTAAATATTTAATACTTGTAAAAGTATTCATTTGACATTGTGGGTTACGTTAAGAATGGCTAGAAGAATTTCGACGTGACCATCAGGGCCGCGGTAGCATAATTGGTCAGTGCATTCGCCCGGATAGCGAAGGGTGCGGGTTCGAGTACCGTCTCCTGCCTGGTCCTCGTGGAATTTTTTCTAGCTATATTTTTTTTAGATTTAAATATCAAGCAGTTACATGCTAAAAAAATTAAAATTATAAGGAAAGAGTAATTACAAATAAGATACCTTACATTTTTAAATATGTAGAACAAAGCCTCGGAATCAATTTTTATCTGAGATGTGTGTCGACCGTGCAAATTTTCAATTAAAAAAGTTTTGATTATTAATTCACAAATATATTTTTTGGTCATGCTATTTTTACACCAGCTTTTTCGAGCTTTTTGAACTACTTATAACTTTTATTAAGTGCTAACGTATACTTAAATGATGTTATCGTGTCAAGGTTAAGTTGAGAATTTAGGATTGTAGTTCAAGGCTGATGTAAAAAGTTTAATATGCATGTCAGTAGAAAGGATTGCTAGATTTTCACACGAATTTGTTGCGCAAAGAAACCACGATTATGACTAAGGAAAGGATCTACTTAGCGCTGTTACAGAATGTACCCGAGTAAGAGATTCGACAGTAACTATTTTTTTCCGACGACACTAAGGTGAAATAAGTCTATTATTGTAATAAAAAATCTCATGTGACAATTTTTGTCTTTGGTCGATAATGTTATGTTAAGGCCAATTTTTTTTATACCTACCTAATTCTTAATGGAATAAGTACAAAGCAAAATATAAAAAGAAACTATTGGCCGCATCCAAAACATTATATAATATTAAGATTCTTTAGGTCGAATGCTTGAGGAGTTGGAGATAAAAAGTTTTTGGTCACCCATCCGAAAACAGACCATTGCGAAAGTTTCTTAACTTTTGAGATCGCAGACCGCACTTTTGCGCCATCATACTCCTTAAGTAAGAATATAACTGCTAATTATAATTTGCTAAAAGTATTACTAGTCTCTTCATTAACGTTTCTAAAAATTCTATTAAACAATACATCCATGCCGTCCTTGTTAAATATCGATCAAATGATATAATACCCTAACTTGAGCAATGAACTCGAAAGTTTAATATCCGAGGTGCGTGACCGGTCACAGAGGTCGGGCCGATTTGGCATAATTATTTCAACGAGTCGAACGAAAGTAAAAGTGCCATTGTAGTGAAAAAACCCCCGATGCTACAGAAAAGGAAATATAGAAGTCAATATAATGTATTTTTTTTCACGTCCGCATAAAGTTGGCAGCCTTCGGGTACAAGCCCGCGGCGTCTCGGCTCGGATGATACCGGCCTGTTGGGTGATTCACTAATTATTAGCGTCTCGAAGATACTTAGGCGCTGTCCTCACGGTATCGGTAATTTTTCGTTTCTGTACCGAATCTGTACAGATTCTTTACCGAGAACCACTTCTTGACCGCCTCGGTTAAAGTGCGGTTTCGTTTCATTTTGTTTGCTACGGTGATTGTCATTTTTTATAGTGTCGGCACGACGGGCGGGCGAGTCGAATAGTTCGGTGACACTCGGTATAGAGACGTGTTTATACACTTGGTTAGGCGGCCCGACCAGACATGCAATCATTATTAGGATAATAGTGGCGCCACATTTAAAAATGCGACACATTTTACGCCTTTATATATCTGCGTGTAAGCACGCCCACCAAGAACACATTTGTAGCGGGTGTATTCATTAGCGAGACGAAAGCAACAATGTACCGTGCATATTGAAGCAAGGTAAATGTTGCGTGCATGTACCCTGTGGTCCCGGTTTGCGGCTTCACTTAAGGAACTACCGAAATGACTCAGTGAGAAAGCTCTAATTTATTTAAATGTACTGGGTAAAGAATCTGTACAGATTCGGTACAGAAACGTAAACGAAACGAGAATGCAATTTTTTTTAATTAGTAAATAAATACGAACGTCCAATTTGTGACGCAAAT